GGACTGGATGAATCCCAAACTGGAATTAAGATTACTGGAAGAAATATCAACAACCTCCGATATGCAGATGATACTACTCTGATGGCAGAAAGTGAGGAGAAATTTTAAAAACCTTGTAATGAGGGTGGAAGAGGAGAGTGCAAAAAATGGTCTGAAGCTCAACATTAAAAAAAAACTAAGATTATGGCCACTGGCCACATCACCTCCTGGCAAATAGAAGGGGAAGATATGTAGGAAGTGACAGATTTTACTTTATTGGGTTCCATGATCACTGCAGATGGTGACAGCAGCCACGAAATTAAAAGACGTTTGCTACTTGGGAGGAAAGCAATTAGAAACCTAGACAGCATCTTAAAAGCAGAGACATCCCCTTGCCGACAAAGGTCCACATAGTCAAAGCTATGGTTTTTCCAGTAGCAATGTATTGAAATGAGAGCTGGACCACAAAGAAGGCTGACCACTGAAGAATTTATGCTTTTGAACTGTGGTGCTGGAGGAGACTCTTGAGAGTCCCCTGGACTGCAAGGAGATCAAACCTATCCGTTCTGAATAAAATCAACCCTGAGTGTTCACTGGAAGGACAGATTCTGAAGCTGAGGCTCCAATACTTTGGCCATCTCATAAGAAGAGAAGACTCTCAAGACCCTGATGTTGGGAAAGAGTGAAGGCAAGAGGAGAGGGGGATGACAGAGGTGCTCCCAATATTCCATAATGAGGTCCAGGAGTTCAGGCACATATGACAGACTGACTGGATGAGACCTCTCCTTGTTAATGTCTCCAGATATCAGATCATCTTCACGGGCTGGTGATTTCTCTATGTCCAGTTGTAAGGTAGCAGCCATCCTAGAAACCATCTGGGAATAGGATGAAAAGGCCTCAGATGGGGAGGAGGGGTGAATGTCAGCAGCATCCGATCCCAAAGGTTCTCCTGGAAGAGGGGTCTCTAGGGAAGCTTCAGAAGTAACCTGCTCCTCCTGGTCAGAGGAGGTTTGGGAGGCTTGGCTTTCCTCATCAGAAGTCTGAAGGATGCTAGGATGTTGACTTTTATCCTTGACCACAGTAGGCTTATGAGGAACAGATGGAGGAGTAGGCTGAGGTTGTACAGGATGGGTATGAGGCTTTGAGGATGTCGACGTGGAGACCCCTTTGTCGTTCGACCCTGATGGTGCAAGTTTGTCAGCACCAGTGTTTTCGATGACGATGTTTTCTTGGAGGTGTAGTGGAGGATGAAGAGGTATAGCGTGCCCTCTTTCTCCGTGGTCTATGGTCTCTCGAGGTCGAGAAGGACTCAGATGAATAGTCCCTCCTACGACGCTGGTGGCGTGACCTCCTCCTGTCAACGCTGTCATCGAAGTTGGAAGAATAATCTCAACGGTGATGCTTTTTACGGTGGCGTGACCTCCTCCTGTCAATGCTGTCATCAAAGTCGGAAGAAGAATAATCTCAACGGTGATGCTTTTTATGCCTATCGACACCGGAACTATGCCTGCGTTTGTGATGGTGCCGAGTCTTTTTCGGTGGAAGATCCTCATCCTGATCTGACATCGGGTGTCGAGGAGAGGGAACTTCGATGGGCTTCTCAGGTCTCCGTGGTACAGCTGGTGGAGACTTCGAGCCTGGAGATCCCAGTGTCGATGATCGGGATCTAGACGCCCACCCAGTTAAGATAGGGCTATGAGGGGCATTCGCTATACCAGCAATAGTTTGAATGAGCTGGCTAGCCGTCGGTGATCTCTCAACAACTACAGGAGGTTCCTGTCTGGGAGGTAGAGAGGCACCCATCTCCAATGTCGAATCGCGGTCGTGAGACGAATCTTCGAGTATGGGAGATGGAAGAGACGTCAAGACCGGAGGAACGACCAAAGTAATCTCCCTGGATTTCGAAGTCGACTTAACAGAAGTCTTTTTCTGTTTCAGGTGTTGAGTCATCGATGGATTGGAGGACCCATTGGAAGAAGCAACTGGAGCCGATGTACCGGTAAGTGATTTCTTAGTAGACGTCTTTTTCTTAGGCTTGTCCTTAGGTTTTTCCTTAGAGGGTTCTGGCGCTGGGGCAGAAACCACTCTAACCTCAGAACGGACCGAGGATGTTGAAGGAACGGATTCCATTTCGGAAGGTTGAGAAGCAGGCAAGGTCTGTTTCCAAAGTGAATATTTCAAGCGCTGCTGGCGAGCCTTGAGGGTGACTTTGGTAAACTCTTTACAGTGTTTACAATGAGTAACTGAATGCGCCTCTCCCAAACAAAAAAGACAAAGTGAATGTCTGTCCTGGAAAGGGAGTTTTCTAGAGCAAGAGGAGCAGTGTCGAAAGGGCCCTCTCTTAGGAGATGGCTTTTTCCTAGGTGGCATAGGCTGACTGAGGTGGAAAGCAGCACTAATTGAAAGAGTCTGGACGGCGCGTGGCGCCTCAGCGGGTGGTAAAGAGGCGGCAATTAAGCTATTCAAGTACTTGCGAATAGCCAGAAGCAGGACAGAAGTCGAAAGACGGTCCGAGGTCAGGGCAACAGCGGTGAGGTCGATAAAACAGTCCAATTTCACAAAATACGTAGGAAAAGGTAGTAGAATCTCACAGCTCTAACCGAGAGGTTCCAACTCCGCGGGCGGAAAAATGGAACTGAGCCGTTGGCGGGCAGGCCATGCGCTGTATAGGGCAACCTAAACTTTGTTACTTTTCTCTTTAGCTCTGGAAGATTCCGAGAGCCCAGCGCAGGCGCTGTCTTAACCCACTGGTGTGGATTCATAGAGAACCACGTTGAAGAACAAGACAAGACAAAAACATGTGGTACCTTAAAGATTATTAATTTTAATGTAAGCATTTGTGGACACGTCCACTTCATCAGACATGGAAACAGAATGAAATGTTGAATGAAACAACAGTTTAACAAGTAAAACATTTTAAATATTCATTGGCTCTTGGTATGGTACATCTACAGAGAGTGATTTGTTTTAGGGTACAGTTGTAAACTATCCTACAGGAGACAGGAAACAAACACCTGGCCATGTCTGACAAAGCAGATGTGTCCATGAAAGCTTACATTAAACTATAATAGTCTTTAAGGTGCCACATATTTTTGTTGTTTCTTTGGATTTCACCTGATTTCATAACTCTAGTTTTTAAATGGGGATGGGCTTTTTCCACTTTTTAGAAAGACAGAGGGAGTAAGATCTGTTGCTGCACAGTATATAAACTAAGCTTTAAATTAATGCCAAAATCCTGTTGCCAGAAATTATGGCGGCATAAGGTTAACCTTATCAGCTGTGATCATTTTTCAGAAATTTCCAGGCTCCCTTGGGATGCCCTTTATCATGGGGAAGCCAGTAGAAAAATGACTTCTCCATCTTGGGGCCCCTAATGGCTTCTATATGAAGAAAGGGGTCTTAAAGCAGCCGTGGAATCTGGGAAAGGGTGGGTGGCGTGGGTGAGCCCAGAAACTTTTAATTTCCTAAAACATCAGTTCCACATTACTGGGTCTGGCATTTCCCCATAAAGCACATAAGTACAGTGGTGCCTCGTATAGCCCCTAATGTATATGAAGAAAGGGGTCTTAAAGCAGCCGTGGAATCTGGGAAAGGGTGGGTGGCGTGGGTGAGCCCAGAAACTTTTAATTTCCTAAAACATCAGTTCCACATTACTGGGCTGGGTATTTCCCCATAAAGCACATAAGTACAGTGGTGCCTCGTATGAGTGCCCCGTTTAACGACAAATCCGCATACGGATGCAGATTTTGTGATCGGAAAAGCGATCGCATACCGATGTTGCCTATGGGGAAAAATCGCTTTGCGATGTTTTCCTCATAGGCACCATTTTCCCCCCAGCTGAGCGGCGGGAGCCTCCCAAGGAGCGCTCCCGCAGCTCAGCTGGGGAAAAATGCCTGCCGGGATTCCCCTTCCCCGCGGTCGGCTTTCCCGGCCATGGTCAGACTGTCAGGAGTCCAACCATGCC